TCCGTGTGCCACGTCTGCGTGCGCAGCACAAGCCCTGAAAATGGGATAAGGCCACGCCATGGCCACGGGGGTTGGAGAGGCAGTCACGGTAGTGGCAACACACAGCAAACAGATGGCCCTGCGTGGGTAAAGCATCTGACGCCGAGTGGTGCCACCAGTTTAGACAAAGGGAGGAGGTAAGAGAGGTGGTCACGGCAGCAGCGAAACATGGCCAACAGATGGCTCAGCATGGGTAAAGCATCTGACGCCGAGTAGTGCCACCCGTTTAGATGACGGGAGGACATTATGCAGACAGATGATTCCGCATGTGGTTGTTAGTTTTTGAAATGTAGTTTGTTGTTTGCTGATAAAATCGAACTGCATGACTCAATATTTATAGCGAGGAAAAATTAGGGTTTTTTTTAATATTTCATACATAGGCGGTTATCTCAACACACAATGTACTGATGGCTGGGTTGTGATGCAAGTGTAATGATGGGTCACTACTCGGGTCGTGTCAGTCCAGACTGTATGATTGTTTCTTCGAGGCATGAGTATACACGCATGTTTCCCCTATGACCGACTACTACTGTTCGATACGACTACTCAATCCGTCTGTTCGATGTGCATACTCACGTGTTATTTATTACATACAGTCTGAACTGTTCGATATGACTACTCATTCAACTTTACGATCTACGTTTGTTCTATATGACTACTCATTCAACTTTACGATCTACGACTATTAGATATGACTACACATTTACGACTATTCGATGCAAATTATCACTACGACCAATTTCCGTAAGATAACATCATGCTCCCATCCTAACAAACACACATACGCAATACTTAAACCATAATCAATATAACTTTCAGTAACATCAAAAAACTTCTTTAACTGACTACCTTGCCTTTTGGGCTTCGTGTTTTCTTTACCGGTGCTTCCGCAAGTACTTGCAACAACTAAAGCTACAGACATATCTCCGGGCTGGATGTGTCATTGTGCATGGCTTCCGCCGCAGCTTCCACTAACCCCAGCACCAGACATATATCTCTCTACTTTCTGTCGCTTTCTGTCTTTCCAGTACATTTTCGACATTGCTCATTTGGTCCCAAAATGTATCGTTATGACTCATAATAATATTGTACCGTTACGACCCAATAATATTGTATCGTTACGACTCAGAATAATATTTTACCGTTGCGACCCATGCTTTCGATCACTCCTTTCATCATCTCACAACTCAGAGAGTCAATGATATTCTACCGTTACGACCCAATAATATTAATCATTACGACTCATGTACCGTTACGATCAACATGTTTCAACTGGCCCGTTTGATAAATAAACTTCAAATCAAAATAACTTCAGGTCTGGGTGTATTACATGGTCAGTATTACGAAATGACCAACATATGTTACGACCCAATGATATCGAAATCAATCAATTGGTAATGCGATATGGTGTGCAGGAACTGAACAAAGATTCGCTGGAAAATGTTGCAAATGATGCCCCCAAAAGAAGGAAATGTGCAAACTGGACAAAAAACTATCGAAAGATAACAATGTCTGAAACCCTAAAAAGTAGGTCGAAGAGATAACAATGTCCGAAACCCTAAAACGTAGTCTTGTTTAAACCCGCCAAATTAATATTCCACTGTTATGAGGGTATGCGACGCGCATGTCGAACAGATGGATTGAGTAGTCGCATCGAACAGTTGTATATGGTAAAGTTGAATGAGTAGTCATACCGAACAGTAGTAGTCAGTCATAGACTCATAGGGAAACACGCTTGTATGCTCAAGGCCTTGAAGAAGAAAAAATGTACTCATTACGACACACTGGCATTACTTCAAATTAATATTCCACCGTTACGACCAAACAATATTTTATCATTTCGACTAAGAATAATATGTACCGTTACGACCAATATGTTTCAATTGTCCCGTTCGATAAATAAACTTTAATAACAAACCAACTTCAGGTCTGGGTGTATTACATGGTCAGTGTTACGAAATGACCAACAATCTACAATACGACTAACTTTATCCATTTATGGCTCACACTATTCATTATGGGTTCCTCGAGATGCAGGACCTGTTCCTCGAGATGATGAAACGTCTTACTGTTCGATAAAACTGGTTGACGAAACGTTTCGTGTCACGAGCACGTTCCACGATCTGTAGCACGTTCAAGTTGAATGAGTAGTTCTATCGATCTCTTACTTCGACCGTTTTGTATATTTACTAGATTTTCATCACGACTAAATAATAGTAACCAATACAAAGAGTGCTTTTAATAAATATTGGTCGTAGTGATAATTTGCAAGGAGCAGTCATCGATCGTAAAGTAGGATGAGTAGTCATATCAAACAGTTGTAGATCGTAAAGTTCAATACGACAATTTTACGATTCACTTAACCATAGCTAGAGGTATAAGGGCAGGTTGTATACGTCACGTAAAGAAAACTGATATAAAACCCATAATCCATAATCCGACAATGTAGGTCCTGAAGCCAATCACACGACGTAGGTCTTGTATCGTTAGCAGGACGTGGAGGAGAACCTGCGGATAAACGAAATCAGAACATCGCATCCTTCTCGCAGGTTATATTCTGTGTGTTTTTTTTTTCGTGTTTTGGTCATATATATAATGACTTGCAGGACATGCCACTTCACGATATATTTTGAATCGTTGATAAAACGGTCAACCTATGCTATTAAATTTGAACTGCAACCGTCAACAACTTGTATTTCTATTTGCAACAGTAGTCAGTCATAGGGAAGGCATATAGTCAATACGACCATTTTTTGCCCAGCAGAATTATGAAAATCCACCCAATCAAACATAATACTACCAAGATTTAATTACGACGACCAAACGTATATTAATTTTAATAAAAAAAAACTAAATTATGTTATAATATTAAAAATAATGTGTTCATCCGTCGGGTTGTCTAGAAAAAAAGGTATCTGTCACCATTTTTGCACGGAATGCAGGCATCATCCCGTCATGTATGTAGTCCATACGACCTTACATGCCAAAAATCAGAGCTTCTAGATACTTGTAAGCGTATACCCCACACTCTCCGTCAGTTTTACTTGTCGCAATGGAATCACAGTACTTATGTGGCCACGCAGCACCATCGGAAGAAAGCTGATGAATCTTGGATTCATGCATCAGCACCATCTTTCTTGTGTTTTTGTTGTTATGAAAACAACTCAAACTTACACATATTTATACTATTCTTGGGAACACTCTAGAGACACATAATAATGCTTTGTGTAACATATAGTAAATGTTTTCTAAATTTCCAAAACCACAAACTCCAAGTATTGAACACAAAATAACAGGTTTGAACTTTGAACACAAGTTCCTAGAATGAACACATTCTAGAACAAGTTTAATATCCAACACTTATGAGGTAACGAAAACTCGACGTTATCTGCCATATGTTTCTGTTTCGCAACTATTCATTACGACTCACTCTGAACACAAAAGACTTCGACTCACGATAACGACAACTCTACGACTCGATGTTCATATGTTTTAATTTCACAACTACTCATTACGACTCACAAAATTCATTACGACTCATTAGACTTCACTACCGACCGTATAATGACGACACTTTATTACGACTAATCAATTCCTTTAACCATACGACCCAATCTGAATGTAGGTCCGGTCCAATTAGTCGAATATAGTCGTGTAGGTAGTTGATGGGTAGAGTCGTCTGTTATAGGGCAGTAAGCTAGAATTGCAGGTGATATGCAGGTTTGTAAGTTATATTCTAGACCTCGAATATGACTTGAAGACCTGCATGTAACCCATAGAGAACTACAAACCAAGAAAAAGGTTTCACACTATTAATAGAGACCTGCAGTTCTTGTGAAAAGTCTACGAAAATGCAGGTCGTGTCGTGAAAAGAGTTACGTCGTGAAGGTCATCTTTTATTTCCCTTCCAAAAGGCTTTTCGTGACATAAAAAGATGACCTGCTACGAGTAACTCTTTTATTTCGATGAGGACATGCGAACCAAAACAGACGCAGGTGTAGAGACAAAGACCTGCAGGTTTCCGTCAAGAAATGCGAATCGTTTTATTGCAGGTCGTGTCGTGAAAAAGGACCTGCAATAAAACGATTCGTGTTTTTGTTCATACAGATGGAATTATATTCTACGAACGAGACCGATAACGTGCACTAGGCAAGTGAAACATGCGGCGAGGTCAGGGAACCTGCCTAACAACCTGCGTGCGAGTGTAATAGAGGAAACAAAAAGGGTACGCGAAATTGAAAAAAGTCGGTCTAATGGTACCTCTTCCGGGCAAAGCACAAGAGGGTGTCGATGGACGCACACGAACAAAGACGAAGTAACTTCGGTGGTGGAAGCAACACCTTCTACCGACCACACGACGATATATTTTGGGTTGATTGGCAACCTGCATATTGCAGGTCCAACATCCGAAGGGGCACGACGCTTCGTTAAATGTGCACGTTCTTTTTATATCACTGCACGTAAAATATACAACTTGCATTAAAACCTGATATCATTTCTGACTGGTTGTCAACGCAATAACACATAATAATACACAACCGATACAACTATAACGATGAACACGACGAAAGCTTTCTGCATATTCGCTTTCCATGCTTTAATCTCTCGTCCGATATTCTCAATCTCATCAACACACATTATAACACCCATCGTCCCCACTTGCAATATCAGAAATTAAATTCGGGAAAAAAGTTTTATGACGCAGGTTGTGCAAGACAAGCAGGTTTTGAAAATAACCTGCGGGAGTGCTTATCGAACGGTTTTGAAAATAACCTGCCGCAGGAATATAAATGGGGGATCCCCTTATTTATTTAACGGTTTTGAAAATAGGGACATGGGGAGTGCTTATCGAGGGGGAAAGTGAAATTATTATGCGTCTCCATCTGTATCTCAACTTTTCGAGACGATTTTCCTTTTTAACGTGGCACTCCCGAGATTTACTAACTGTAAATAATAAATATAAATAGTTTTGCTATATATAATAGGGTTCGCCAAGCGGGGGATTTCTCAGATCTCATTCCCCTGCCTCTCCTCTTTCTCATTCTCTCCCAAATACAACCCTAATAGTATATAGTTTATGTTCTCTTCCAACTTTGACTGCGAAGAGAAGGGAATGTTTCCTTTCGACTTTCTTTATTGATTTTTCTAGATGTATAAGGTTCATATTCAAAAGAAGGCGGATGTACAAGGTTCGTATTCAACATCGGCCTCAACCATCTATCCCATCTTTCAGGTCTGGTTCTTCTCTCCTGTCTCTCTATGTTTTCGAACGCAGAGATTTTTACGAAGATTCTAGCCACAGATATTTGTTTCATAAATGGAGGACGTGAAGATAGCGCTCATCTTAGATTTAGTTATGGTGTCTCTGTTGGACTAGCAGTCAAAGATTGGTGTTTTAGCTAAGGAAGTGAAATCTTGCTCTGTGGTTATTCCTGTGTGCATTTAAAATACATATTTGGAGTTTTTTTTATAGAACTAACAGCAGTAGCCATGTGGTTTTGTCGTCAGTGTGACAATGGCCATGCGGCTTGTGCCTCTTGCTGCACCAAGATGAGTAACAGATGTACAAGGTTCATATTCAAACGGAGGCGGATGTAAAGGTTCATATTCAACATCGGCCTCAACACCGTCGGCCCTCCGAATTGCACTGCTTTTTCGTGGTTCGAACTCTTCCCAGATTTTATACTTTCAAGTTTTCCTGATTCTGCTCGCGTTATTTTACTTTTTACTTGATTAGTGGACTTTTGGATTGCATGTAAAAGCAGTCGTATTATCGTCAGGGATTCCAGGGAAAGA